AAATAGATCTTCCAATCTATAAAGTTTGAAGTTCTTCTTGAAACACACAAAACAACTTTGAAATCACTTAAGAACACTTGACAGCACAAAGAAAGATGAAATGCAAGACCGGCGAACAAAAAACATTATAAATTATTAGTTATGATCAAATGAATATTTTGGCATATTGTCATATGTTGACATGACATGTCAGTTATCGACATCGGACGTGTTCTTGATGTGCTGGTATTTTACTATTTTGACAATTCTGTGGTTGTCAGCGACATCTAGAAAAACGGAAAGGAGTTATTATGTGGTTTATAACTGGCAATGAGAGATCGCAGGGCCGATTGACATTTACGCTGGTACGGCAGTCGGTTTCTATTGGGAACCACTCAAACAATACAATCTGTTTAGCTAGACTTGTATAGTGTTCTTTTCGTTTACATATTGCCTTAGAGAGAGATGTCTAAAGATTCAAAATGTAAACGTATTTTTCGAAAACGTACTAAGTATAGAAAACCAGCGTAAACAAAGTAAGAGAGACAAAATCAAAATTTTTGGAGAGAGATCTTTGTACCATATTTGGAAGTTGATTACTCATCTTTTAGTGTTAACTATATATAATCTAAGGTGTTATTGTACTTAGGGGAATCCGGAGCAGAACAGCATACCTAAGCTTTAAGAGGCCTTTTCTTCAAGGGATTTTGAAATTTCGAAACCAACTTAGGACATACCCTTCTTTATTGTTTAAATAGCATCCAAGAAAAAAGTTTGAGACGAATTTTATCAGAAAAAAAATTGTTTTTGAATCTCAAAAAAAAATTGTCAAAATGGCGGTTCTGCCCCGAGTATGGGACAGAATGGCCCTATCTTGGGGCGGAATGGTCATTATGGTAAAATAATGAAGTAACCGTATTTTTGGGAACAAATGAAACACTCAAATATTAAATACACAATTTAATAGAAATCTTAAACTTATTGCCAGATTTTGCAGACAAGCACAGTCTCATCGTCGACGCTATCGATACCCGCGCAAGTATTATGAGCCCATTTTTTGCAGATTGAGCATGATATCTAACCTTCTATAGATTTTGAGTAAAATTCTCCACAATCTCCACAGTAGAGGCATTGGGCATCATCACTTTCACTTTCGCTGGAAGAATTTATTTCGACGTTTACAGGAATTCTTGTGTTTTGTTTTTTTTTTTTAATTATTCTTTTGCATAATCTTCGAGCGAATAATTTTTTTATTTTTGGGTTTTTTATTTATTGCCAATTTATATTCTGCTATTGATTCATCTGGACTGCATTCTATTGAAGACAACATGCGTCTCTTCTTATAATTGAAAAAATTCATATGACTGCTTGCTAATTTTATGTGGGGCAGAATGGTACCCTAGACTATTCCGCCCCCTAATTTTATGCGGGGCGGAATGGTACCCTAGACCATTCCGCCCAGGCCCGTAGCTAGAGGGGGGCCAGAGTGGGCAATGCCCACTCTGAAAGAAAAAGTTGCCCACTCTAGAGTGGATTATAGAATAGTTATTTATGTATCAAGGGTACTAATTAGATGATTATGCCCTGACGGCGACAGCCTTACAAAGCCGAGGGCCTCTGGCCCGAGGGTTCGTAAGTCGCCCGAGGGTATATATCTATTAGTACCCGTGGTGCATACAAACTTTTATGTCATACCAGGGGGACTTTATTTGAAATCGATGCAACTATGCGTACACACCTATATCAATCTCCTCTATAGCCGATTCGATTGACCGGATTAGATCGATCTGGTTCAATTTAAGTGAACCACACTATGTTCGATTGAAGCTGGATCAGTGCATCCTCATCAACAAAAAAATGATCTAGATCAGAAGAAGTTCACTTAAATTGAACCCAAATCTAATCTGGGTCAATCGAATTCAGCTTACATAAAGATACGTGGTATTAAATTTAAGATCGGTCCAGCCGTTCTCGAATTCAAAAAATAATAAAGTTACGTCGGTTGAATGCAAGCCTAAATAAATGAAATATGGCAACGTTGTTTCATGCTGTCAAAAAAAGTTGGGTTATGTTGTTATGTAATGTGAATAAGTTTGTTTACAATTAAATTAATAATTAATTCAAAATTAATTTCTTTTTCCGAGATGCGTAACCTGTCCACAAACCTTCCTTGGGATGGCCAAAACAACCTACCAAAGTTTCATCGTAATCGGATAAGTGGTTTTGGAGCGCATATCGGGATACCCCGCGAACTTTCATTTTTATATATATAGAAGAATATTAACGGCTGATTGTTAATGCTCGATATTTGGTATGACTAAGTCTTTAGTGTAGTAGAACACATTTTTGAAATAAAAAAAAAATGTGCAAGTTCCCTATTGTGCAATCACCACATTAGCGCTGAGACTAAACTTTGCGTCTACAATCCAGTTGGAACACTAACACTTATATATGGCTGCGAAACTTGGACCACTCACAGAAGGCACATAAAAAGACAAGAAAAATACCATCAGCGATGCCTAAGAAGGATCCTAGGGATTAAATGGCAAGACCGACGAACAAACACTAGCGTTTTAAAGGGGGCCAAAACAACCAGTATGGAAGCCTTCATCATTAAGCACCAACTTCGCTGGACAGGTCATCTCCGCATTCCCGAAACATGTCTTCGCCATGACAGATTCTCTACAGTTAACTGAAAGAGGGAAAACGAAATCAAGGAGGACAACAAAACCGCTACAAAGATGTTCTTAAAGGGGATCTGACCCAAAAATGAAAGTTTTAGTGCAAAAAAATCTAAGAATAAATATTTAAACTGCATCTTGCTACTTGCTACGATAATCTGTTTTCGAGTTAGGACGGTTTAAAGTTACAACTAGGTGGTTTGTGACATCACACTACACTGGATTATCAGGGACAGTATTAACACGTGTTTGAATTCTCCAAAACAAAAGACAATTAACTCCTAGAGCGAATTGCAACCACTCAAAGTATAGGGTATGGTTCACTGACGACTGAACGAATCGAAGACTGCAATCTCGGCGGTTGTGACATCACAAGTTCCTGCATAATTTATCTTCACAAGGAATTTTCACGGAGACTATTTTGAATATAGGAGTGCGGTTTTCACGAGAGATCTTAGAATTTTTTCTTGATTTAAGTAGCTTAAGTCATTTTTTAGGGTCACACCCCCTTTAGGGAGATTATGGTAAAGTGCCATATCGATACCAGGGAGACGATGGAAATAATGATAGGCCCTCATGGCGTCGAGTAGTCCACGACGGACCACAAAGTTTTGAAGAACAGCGTCGCAGACACGGTACAGCAGGAAAAAGCAAGAGAACAAAGGAAGGGACAATGCTGCCAAAGGCCGGGTGGCATGGAGGTAAGTAACACCCATTTGGCTCACGTTCGCAAATTTGAATGTAACACCCGATATCGCAACGGAGAGGTTCTTTATCAGGTGTTACTTACCCTGGACAGATTTGCATTCACAAAATGTTTAAAATAATGCCTTTATTAGATAGTATAGATATAATATTAGTTTTTAATGTTTCAAACTTTCTGTATTTTATTAATTCGCTGGTTGATTCGTCTAGACTAGATGAAAATAAAACTAAAAATACTTCAGTTATTTATTCACTTATTTTATGAGTTAAGAAACTCACAACTCTGTGTTTTTATACACCAAATATAAATTAGGAGTCCTCTGAATAATTTCGGCAAGTTGACAACATTGCCTGTTACACTGCTTGCTGCTGTAGCGTCGGTGTCCGAATTTTGTTCAGACAAAAAAATTTCTGGAAGACGTGCATTTGCATAGTATACTTTCGATATTAGTTGAAAAATGCATAGTGTTTTTATACCAGAGGATTATCCATATACAGTGTCCCCCACCCCATAATGTTCGCTACATATGGGGAAATTTTTTATTTGTAGGATATGGAAATTACGAACGCACAGTATAATTATATTAATATAACAATATTAATTATATTTTGCACTTATATACTCATGTTTTGATATTTCAATGCCCTTAAATAATTATTTACAAGATAGGTAATAGGCTGAATAACGAGGGTAAGTAACACCCGATAAAGCGCACGTCCATGCAACCACGGGTGTTACATTTCAAAAACCGAACCGTTGTCGAACGGATTACCGAATAGGATGTTACTCACCTCCATGCGGCCGGGTGTGCAAAGACTGTGGTAGAGAGTGCGGCTTGATAATTGATTTGTCGCACAATCGACGACATTGAGAAGAGAATGGGAGATAATCATACTCGGTATCGAGTGATCGCCTATGATGATGATGATCATTAACAAGTAATAAATCACTCTAGATGATAGGTTTTATGAAACCAACTACTTCAAAGTTTAATGATCATTCCATAAAAATTTTCTTCACTGCTTATTGGTACAATCTCACTTAGAGTATTGTTCCTCTGTATGGAAACCGAATGGATATGTATACAGTGTAAATTTCTTTGATGTGGAGCTAACCAAAAATCCAATTATTTTGCTCGCAGAGTAACTGGCGTACTAAAAATGCCAAGGACGTTTGTATTTCCAATCCTAATCACGAACATATACTAAATACATGTGGTGAATTTTTTTGTTATCTAAAATGCTGTTATCGCTAAATTTGCGACAGACGTGAAGAAAATTGAATGAGTTCGTGGATGTTAACATTTTTCAATTATTACACAGTTGGAATAAATTAAATTAGGACAATCATTTTTTTTTTTTTTAATATAATACATGGTTCATTTTTTGTTACTTGTGTTTATTAGAAAAAAAATCTGGGTTACTGACCATGTTAACTCAAGATTATATGAATTAAAAAATAAACAACCTGTAGATATACAATTTACTCGGCTCACTTTCTCCATTGACTAATTATTATTGGCCACAAACAGTGATTACGTTATTTATAGTATGAGTACCACTTCTACTTGTAGCACCAAATCAAGAATCTAGCAGGAAATAATAATAATAGTACCTTCAGTACCACACGAGCAAGCACAATTTTAGTAGGTACCCACCGGGCCGGCACCTGGTCACCGAACGTAAAAAATTCTTAATCAAGTGTGAACTACATTATATTTTATGAACAATATTAATTGAAAATGTGCCGAGACATTAAGTGAAAGAATTCCTATATTATCGTTCATGTATTATAAAATGTTTATCATTTTTTTGAAAGTGATTATAAATGTTGTGCCAAAGTTGAGTTGAGTGCAGTATATTTCTGACTTTCACATCTATAAAATATAAAGATTTTGAAAAATGACAAGTTTGAGGTAAATATACAATGTTTTTCTATAATATTAGATTTTAGAATAATTTCTTTTGGTAATCGTGAATAAAATAATTTCTAAAAATATTAACAAGTAGTGGGTATGTATGCAGTTGTGTATGTATTCATAACTTTCGATAAGTTTATGGCATTTTTTAATCGTCTCCAAAAACTCTTCCCAAAAGTTTCTGTGCCATTTTGTAAGTTAAAATATATTTTTTTGAAACCCATGATTTTTATTAGTTAGTGGGTTCGTGGTCATCTTTCCATAGAAATCAATCAAGGAGAGTGAGATCTGTGTATATTGAAGGCCATTGCGGATCATCTTGTGAAGATTACCTATGTTTTTTTCTATTTGCCCATTCAATTGATTAATAATATTTTCCCATATCAGTATTAAAAATAATAAATAAATAGATTAGGTATCTACAAATTGCACACAATAGAAACGTTTCCACTAATTTTATTCAAAAGTGTGGCAAGATATTTTCTATAATAATTTAATTCCGTTAAATGTTCAATGAACCTTTCAAGAGCTAAGAAAAAATACTAACTTGGCTTTGATAGATAATTATGCATTGTAAACATAATTATAAACAATAAATATTGTTTTTTTAAGAAAACTTGTTTGATTCTATGACCTCGCTTAATACATATCATATTATTCCATTTTAATTAATGCATACTTCTATCGAGTATTACAAAATGGAAAATTACATAGGGAATATATTATATTTTCTTCATATTTGTAAAATCAAAATTAAAAGGATGTTCTAGTTGGTTTTTTGAGAAAGGTTGGATTTAGGTCAAAAATAAACGGCGTTGAAGAAGAAAATGTGAAATGTGCCCTAAGGATGGCCTAATTTAGGCCGAAACGTCGGCAAATACACATTTTCTTCTTCAACGCCGTTTATTTTTGTCCTAAATCCCACCTTTCTCAAAAAAACCAACCGGAATATCTACTGAGGTCACTAACTAAAGCAAATTAAAAGGATGTTCTACTGTCATGTTGGAACTCGACGCGATATAAAAACACAAAAACTTTGAATTAAGAGAAATTGAACCTCCTCTCAGGTCACGCTAAATTTCAAATAGCAACAAAATACTTTTGTTCCTTTTGGTCAGGGTACAAAGGACTTTGCATGGTTCATGCCTGGGTTACCTTGACCAATATTATTTGGACTCTGAATTGGCCCAGGTTAGGATTGTGTAGTTGAAGTTGGTCCGCTTCTTTGTTGTCTTCTTGTCCGGTATCCAGACTAGTGAGACCTTGTTGTTTTTCCCTAGCTGGGTCAGGGCTTGTTTGCATCTCCATGTACTGTTTTTGATGCGTAATGTATGGATGCCAGTGCTTTGAGGGCAGCCTGCCATCAGACAATATTTTTATCGATTTGTGCGTCTGTTGCTTTTCCAACAGCTTTTTCACGCCAAGCTCAGTGGCTTGTAATTCGGCCTGGGCAATGGATGCGTTTTTGCCAAGGCTGATCGAAATTCCCTGCCTTGGTTTTCCACAATATACCCCTGCTCCGACACCATGTTTAGGTTTGGAGCCATCTATATGTACAGGCAGAAATCTGCCTTCAGTAGCTCAGTCCTGCCGCCGGCACATAGCTCTCTGTCGGGAATCGGAATCATTATTTTGCAGGGTAAACCAAAGTTGGTTTTCTTTGGCATTATGTCAGAAGGCATACTAAGGGTGCCGTGTCGATTTATTTCGTCCATAAACACCGTGTGTTGCATTGCGCTTCTTTCCTCCAAAGTGCATTTTGAAGCATGCTACAGACGATAGGTTGTTGTCATTGCTTTCCTCTCCGTATATGGGAAGGGGAGTTAGATTTACGAGGACTTCCATAGCTGCATGTAGGCGTGGTGTGCAACAGTCAGACTACGAGAAGCATTAATTATAGGATGCCCATTTTTAAGAAGACAACAACCAAAAGCTTCACTTGTTGCATCACATTGAATCAATATTGGAAGAGAAGGATCAAAAATTTTTAGGACTGGTTCTTTTGAGACAATGGATTTCAAGATCATCATCATTCATGTTTATGTTTTTCAGTCCATTCAAAAGAAATATTCTTTTTAGTGAGATTTCGTAAATTAGTTGTAAGTTGAGAGAGATTGGGAATAAATCTTGCAAAAAATTTCAATAAACCCAAAATTCTTAAGACTTCGGATTTATTCTTAGAGGACTCTATTGCCTCAATGGCTTTTATATTATTTTTGTCTGGTTTTACACCTTCTTTTGAAATTTCTTGACCCAAAAATATGACTTATCTAATTTTTATTGAATTTTTTTATAATTGAATTTTACATTATTTTTGGAAGCTCTCTTTAAAACTTCCCTCAAGGCGTTATCATGACTTATTTCATCTATTCCAGAAGTAATTATATCGTCAAAATAAATTTCAACGCCTGGAATATCTCCAAAAATTTAAATATTTTTTTTTTGAAAAATTTCTGGGGCACTACAAATTCCAAAGGGGACTCTATTAAAACGATATCTACCAAATGGTGTGTTGAAAACAGATAAGTCTGCACTTTTTATCGTCTAGTTGTAATTGCCAAAATCCATCTTTCATATAAATGACGCTAAAAACAGTTTTTCCTGTCAATCTACAAAGAATAGTTGTTGGTATTTGAAAATGTTCCCTGCAAATAAATTTATTTAATGGCCTTGGATCAATACATAATCTCAAGATTTTAATAGGTTTTTGAACAATCATAAGGCTATTTACCCATTCTGTAGGAAAGTCTACTTTATTAATTATTCTTTTTTCTTCAAGATTGTCTAGAGTTTCCTTCAGTTTTTCGTGTATAGAAAGCGGTATTTTTCTTTGAGCTTGAATTACTGGTTTAGCATCACCAAATAATTTAATTGAACAAAGGCCAGATATTGCGCCAGTGCCTTCAAAAACATGTTTATATAACTCATAAATTTGTTTTCTATCTCTTGGTAATATTTCAACGGTATTAACTCTTCCAAGAAGTACAAACTTTAGACAATCCCTAAGTCCAAACAAAGGTTGAGTATTATAATCTACTACAATAAGCTTGATATTGTAAGTCAAATTTTTGTAACAACATTTTAAAACGACTTCACCTTCTGGTTTCAACTTGAAATTTCGATAGGATATTAATATTATTACACAATTATTTAATGGCTTAGAATTTGGAATTTTTAAATATACGTTTAAAGGTAAAATGCTACAATCAGAACCGGTATCAAGTTTTTAAATTACCTCTTTATTTTCAATTAAAAACTTTTCGGACCATGATTTTTTTTTCGGGTGCGTTTCACATATATCCACATAAAAAAGATCGTCATTATCACTCGAGCTAGTCTCATCATCAGGTTTGTAAACTTCTCTTACTTGTTTTCTCATTCCATGCTTCTGATTTGGAATTTTCTTATCTTCTTTTTTCTCTTTAGGAATTTCAAACCTATTATTTGGATCTTCAGATTTGTTTTTGAAACAGGCTTTTGCAAAATGACCTTGGCGTTGGCATAAAGAACAAGTTTTTCAATATGCTGGACACATATTAGGATAATATTCATATAAGCACCTATTGCACTTGACTTTTTGACTAGATTTGTTCAATACATTAACATCAGCTTCTTCAGGATTTAAAGTTCTATCTCGTACCATTTCTTTCTTCATAGCTTTCAGCGCAACCTTGCTTTTCATAGTTGAAATTGCATTTTGGCTTGCTTACGTAATTCAGTGAGAAAATTTTCAATAGTTTGGCCATCTTGTTGATGCAAATTATTAAATTTAAATGTTTCCAACGGTATTACTGTCTTCGGCAAAAAATAACTATCGAATAAATGCTTTGAGCAAATTTTGTAAAGTACTTCGTTTATCAACTTTAAATGTATTGTAAACATCAATACCTTGATCTCCTAAGCAACTTAAGAAAATTGCAATTTTTATTTCTTCAGCTTCTTTATGTTTCCCAGTAGCCTTCAAATAAAAATCAAACTTTTGCTTATAAAGGCTCCAATTCTTTACATCATTGTCTGAAAAAGGTCCTGGCGGTTTAAAATTTTCCATTTTATTTACACTGGACTATACTTTATTTTTTCCCAAGATAGATTGTGACATTGAAAACTTTGAAACATAAACAATAACGCTTGACCCTGATTGGTCGCAAAATGAGGTGTTTCTGCAGGTTGACATCAGTTTTACAATAGCGGCCAATAAGTGGCATTAGCGGCATTGTTTATGTTTCAAAGTTGACAATGTCAAAATCTATCTTGGAAAAAAATAAAGTGTAGACACTTCAATTGATTAGCTGGTACAGTGGAAATCATTGCATATGGCACACACTATGTAAATATCCCTCGTAATGTGTCAAATCTAACACACAGTAATTAGGCAATTCAAACCACGTGACATTCAAGATGGCGTGGCGGCCACACATGGGCCAAAAAACACAAAAAAATATCTAGTTTCTCCCCGAATTAATGGTTTAGGTACCTAGTCAACAAATATTTTATTAAATAATGAAAATCAAAGTTGTAAGCAAAACTGTATGCAAAATAATTTAAAATACGCATAAAAACATATTCAAAACAAACTTGCTTGGCCGCCACACCACATTGAATTTTCCTTTTTGACAAATGGATTGAATTGCCTAATAGCAAAATGCTGCACTATATAAATAGATTTATTGGTTAGAATTTTGACTTAATACGAGGGATTTTAAAGAGTGTGTGCCAATTGCAATGATTCCGACTGTACTTTGGTAGGTGTAATTTTTCACTAAAACTGGTACTTGATAGGTGTAATTTTTTCATATAGGTACCTGACCCAAATAAGGCCATGTACCTAATAAGGCCAGAGCCCTTTATTACTTAATATTAGATCCCATTTTCAAAAATTATAATATTATTAAAAAAGAAATCTATATAGCAAATCAAAAATTATAGCCAGGGTTCCTAGCCACTCGTTATATGTCGAAAAATGGCCAACCACATATTTCATATGTCACGTTATAACT